AGTGGAACATAGGGCTTCAACTGCACGCCTCCACTTGCTTCTGTCTTGTGCTGCACTTTTCACTTGCATCCAGGTTAATCCATACTGTTTCAGTTCCTCATCACACGATCTCCTCCATGTCACCCTTGCACTGACGTCCCACTCGCCGCTTCCCTTTCGGGTTCCACTCGAGGGTCTGACGCGCGATATCACCCAACCCATCTCCCCTTTTTCCTGCATATTTGTTGGGCGATTGGTTCTTGTTTTGTCTGTTCCCATAGTTTCTTGTTTGTGATTCTTTCCGGCCATCTAATCTTCAGTATAGAACGAAGACAGTTGTTGATAAAGGTCTGCAACAGGCTGTTGGAAATATTCTTTGTGACCCACCAAGTTTCTGATCCGTATAGAAGAACTGACTGACTTGACGTTTGTATTGAAAATCCGAATTTTGTTGTTGATGCAGGCTGAGTGACGACGATTTCCAGATTGGTTTCAGGTTGATGAATGTGTTTCTCGCCTTCTCGATTCTCGATTTGACATCCTCGTCCGTTCCTCCTGTAGTTGAGACAATGCTCCCTAGATAGGTGAAAGAAGTAACCTCTTTCAAATCCCTCTCGTTGATGGTGATTGGCGCTGGATTTTGCTGCTGCTGTTGTTGTTGTTGGTTGGTTATTTTGATAACCTCCGTCTTGTCTATTTTCACCTGGAGTCCAGTCTTTGCTGCTTCTTCGACCAGTTTGTCAGTTTTCGCTTGTGAGTCTTCGATTTTGTGTGACATCAAACATAAATCATCCACGCGTGAAATCCAGGTCTTCTAGTTTCTTCACGTCGGTCCAGGATATCCCTGTCTTCTCGTTTCCCACTGTCTGAACCATTATCCAGTCCACCACAATTAGGAATATCATTGGTGATAATAGGCTAGCACCCTTGTCTGACTCCTGTGTTTACTCCAAACGCTTCGCTGAGTTTTCCGTTGTGGATCACTTGACATGTGCCGTTGTCGTACAGTTGTTGAATAAGGTTGATGAATATTTGGGGTACGCCGTAGTACTCGAGCAGTTTCCAAATTACTTCGCGGTCAACGCTGTCGAAGGCCTTCTCAAAGTCTATAAAGTTGAGGTAGAGATTTGATTGCCATTCCATGCTTTGTTCGATGATAATGCGTAGTGTTGCAATTTGATCAGAACATGATTTGCCTTTAACTATTAAATAAAGTAATACAAACGAAATAGAATACTGATTTTGGAAGAATGATTACTGAAGAAAGAATGTTCCTTTTATCGATAACTTTGTCATCAGGTTCTACAGTTTTATGTCCATAATAATTAAAGAATTATTGTTATTAAGAACATTAATGTATTAAATTGTTAATATCGAAGATAACAGCTGGAAAGCGTCCTTGGGTGGTAATATGCATCAATAAAATACTAAACTGAATATCAGATGAATTAAGAAAGAATTTAAGAATTCCTAAATTCTGCACCAGGACAGGGTAGCAACAGGGCTTCCGTTATTTTAAGCGAATTTCAGTGGCTTCTGCTCTTTGAAGTATTTGGTATTTAGAGGCCTCTGTCTATTTATTCGATCCCAGATAGACGATAGTGAAAGATTCATCAGTGCTGCTAGCTTTGTCGCCTGTATCGACGAGGTGATGTAATATCTAACTGTTGATGGTTTCAACTACATCTTTATTTAATCACACTGGTAGGTGTTCCCAAGCACGAACTTTTAATGGCGATAAGCTGTTGCTTATATTTTGCACACAACCAGTCGTAATTGAGAAACTGAAAGACGATGTACCTTGTCTAGCCACCTCATATGGTATTTATCAATTCAGCTGCTCCTATGGAGCCAGTTATATTGGCTGCTGCCTCTGTAAGTTAATTTTTGGTGCTTCGGATCAAGTTGGGATTATGAAATCTACCATTTGCCTCCTTACGTCCTAAAGAATCTTTTTTAACACTATTACTCGAATTTTTTCAGCAAAATCTAAATCAGGGTTCAAAATGTCCCAGGAAATTTGTAACATAGGTGGCTTGTCTGTTTGAGTCAACAGAGTTTTTAAATGGCATATATATCTTGAGTACTAATCTCACATCAAAACGTCACTTATACAGGACAGAATTAGCCTTTTTTCTCAATCATGAGTGAGGTAATCCATACAGTTTCATATCTCAGCTGATAAGATTTCTGCTTCAACCCATAAATCCAATTGCTGATATTATTTGAGTGGATTAAAACAAGATATTCAGTTAAATGAATTTGATTAGTTGGAGGATTTCATCATAAGCTGACATCGGTTAGAGAACCAATGGAAAACCTGGGAGTACTGGAGAGTTGTTTCGTCCTAGTCTGGGACTCTTTATCAGTACGCACCCACTGGGGTTCAGACTAATCAAACAAAATCTCTACAAACCAATACTGGAAAATTAAATGAATTTCTCTCAATATTTGTACATCCTCGAAAATAAGACTCCTGTCTCCACACTAAAATAAACACGACATCGTGAAGCTTTTTCTATCTTGTAAAGTAGATAAGATTCTGCAAAATTTCTTTGCAAATTATTCCTTGATAGGCTACATTCATGTTTTACAGTCATCTGTTTATAATCATTATTATAATGTGTAATACATCTTACTGACAAATTGATCATATTTTTAAAATCGATATACATATGTATTGGTTAATTCAGCCTTAATGCCATTCAAAGCAGAATCCACTGATATTATTATTATATTTCTGTATGATCACTCATCAGCAAGCTGTAATATTATTATTAAATAAAGGGATTGCAATTATTGATGGAATTATTTGATAGTTATAGTCTTTATAAGCGTCATCAATATGAAGATAAAGGACACGGGTTTTCATGTCAAATGGAAGGCGTGATTTAACTACACATATACTATAGTAGATGCTAGTATGCCTGCCTGGACTTGAATATATGTATCACCTGTTCGTTATTGTCCAGTACTGCGAATAACACAGCATGGACAACAGTAATCTGAATTTAAAAAGGGCACTCAATAGTCTTCTAACAAGAAAATTAAGGCTTCCATATTAGTTTGTTTATTAGATGTATCACACAGTGAAACAGTCTTACTTACTGGACGACGTTTCGAACAAAATTTATTGTTCATAATCATATCAATTATCAATTATTATCAATCAATCAATAATTAATATGATTATGAACAATAAATTTTGTTCGAAACGTCATCCAGTAAATAAGACTGTTTCACTGTGTGATACATCTAATAAACAAACTAATATGGAATTACTTACTACCACAGTGAAGAAGTATTACACATATATTAAAATTAAGGCTTTATTCGCTTGATCACTGATACCCTAATAATGTGATTACTGTTATCAAATTCAACACCAAAGACACAGTGATGAAGACATTCTAATGTATTTTAACTACCTCATTCATCCAGAAAGGGTTGACATACTGAAAGTTAAAATTGGTAAAGTCTTACAAGTCTACATGTTTTACGCAGATGGTAAGTTATCCATAGACGAAGTATTCCCTACATAATGTCTATTGTGAAGGAACTTTACTAAAGTCTTAAAGTTGACCAAATGTGTTCACATCATAATTTTTTATCACATATACTCTGTCATCATTAATGATTACTGCAAAAATCCACTAGGTGGGTATATTATTAATATTATTCCCTTGGGTTTCGAGTGGAACATAGGGCTGGCTTCAACAACACATCTCCACTTTCTTCTATTCTCTGCCGTCCTCTTCAACTGCCTCCACGATTGCCCACAATCTCTCATCTCCTCCTCACACGAATTCCATGTCACCCTCGCACTGACGACCCATTCATCGTTTCCCACTGGGGTTCCATTCTAGCAATGGCCTGCATTGCACGCGATGTCATTCGATGGTCTCCTCAACGTATGCCCAATCCATCTCCATTTTCTCCTATATATTTGTTGAGCAATCGGCTCTTGGTTGGTTCGTTGCCAGCCAGAGTTTCATGTTGCTAATTCTTTCTGGCCGGCTGACCATTTGGTCTTCAGTATGGAGGTGGTTATATCAAAGTAGATTTCTTCATAAACTGTTATCGGCTATACAACTGATTACAATCTAAGAAGATTGAAGTTCTGTTCTAATCAATTCTGAAGAAACTTTGCAAATTCCATGAATGAACCTGGATAGCATAGAACCCAGAACAATTTATTATTTACAGGCATCGACACATGTTTCAAACTATCATTTAGTAGTAATATATAGATAAGTTATTGTTAAATGCAGCTAATAAGTAAATACTATCATCTCCCACTTGATGGCGGTTGGGTTTTCCTCGCCTCTACGACTACTTCTTCTACTACTAGATGATTACAAGTGTCTACTGAAGCCTTGGTTTTGGTGTTCCTGGAACCACTAACAACCCGTGACAGAAAATGTACCATAAATAGATCACTTTGTATAGTTTGGTTTGTAAGGGTTAATTATGTTTTTACGAGTTGATCACGGACTGATACCAGTTAGAGAACCATTGAAAACCAGGGAGTACTGGACAGCTGTTTCATCCTAGTTTTGTGAATCATCGGCTGAATGGTATATGCGCTAGCTTGTAGGTCCTGGGTTCGAATTCCAGTGGGTGCGTACTGCCGATGATTCTCAAAACTAGGATGAAACTGCTGTCCAGTACTCCCTCGTTTTCAATGGTTCTCTAACTGATATCAGTCCGTGATCAACTCGTAAAAAGATCATTCTGTATTAAAATCAACCAAATGCATCGTTGGCACAGCAGCAGAATGCTCGCCAACCACGTAGGTGGTTTGGGGGTTCAATCTCCGGTCACCGACGCATTCCTTTACCTCACTAAGCCTGAAATAAGATTGGTAAAGATGGAAGGTAGGGCAAGAGACTAGCAACCTCATCCTGTAAACCTCTAGCTTGAAGCCCTATGTTCCACTGGGAAAGTAAAGGAATAAAAATTTAAAAACATAAATGGTATATGAATAAATTTCATTTTATATCTTTACTTTTATATTTCAGGCTTCCTATTTTTCTAGACCTGATGTTGGATTATCTGGTTTTGCTAAATTTTTCCGTAATTCAGCTAATGAAGAAATAGAACACGCAAGAAAATTCAGTGAATTTATAAACAAGCGTAATTCAAAAGTTATTCTAAAAAATATACTAGTGAGTTGAGTTCACTTTATCAATATTTTGTTTTGTTTTGTTTTTTCATGATCCCAAGTAGAATCAACACAAAACTGCATCGGTTTTGATGCACACTTTTGCTGTCACCCCTCCTCCCCTTTTTCTTTCTTAATAAACAGGATCAGGTTTGTCTGTGTCTGTTTGTGTGTGTTATGAATTTTGTCATGCATAAACCACAAAATGGTGTGTTATGATGATATAGGTCACTAAAAGGCCTGATATTTGAAAAATAAATCTATTTTTTCGCATTTTTTCATCCAAGGATTTTATTATTATTAACTTGACATTCGATAAATATGTTAAAGAGGGTTAGAGGGAATTTACTGAACTTTACTGCACTTCCCATAATGTATACATGTGCTATTGAATTTCAGCATGGTAAATATGAAAATTTGTGATTAGTAATCACACTCTGATAAAGTGGATATTTTGTTAGAGACATTGTGGGGTGAGGGGGGAGGGGACAATACTATCATCATATTTTGAACTTAAGGCATTTTTTCACATAACTGAGATCTTCATTATCTTTCATAAGAGTGTTACTCATTCGGAAAACAAACAAATTGCTAAAAACAGATGATAAATGGTGATAGTAACTCATGTAACATGTTCTAAAGATCTTAAGACAGTTAAAATGCAACTAAGACGCATAGTCACACCAGTTGCTAAGACACTACTGACTGTGGCCGTTTTGTCTATTTGACAAATTTATGTAGTCCAATGATAAGTCAAAGTTAACTGTATACAACTAAGAGTGATGACGTAACCAACTAGTTGCGTGGTATTCCTTAACTTGGATACACTGTATTACGTAAGCTGTTGCTCCATACTAAGTATATATACCCACAGAATGACTGACATAAATTTCTTGTGAGAAATAGAACAGATAAACTATTGGTTAATGATTCATCAATGTAAGTGATTTCTTTTCTGACATGCCTAGTCGAATTGATCAGCACCATTTGGGTACATAGGCTCCTTAGACAATATTTTCAATTTTACTAGGATTAATAACGCGAAACAGCCTGTTTGGTGTCAGATGTACTTTTTTTCCTGTTTGGGTATCATCAGTAGAATATACCTACTCCACAGGGATTGATGGTGTTACAACTGAAACTGGAACCCAACATCCAACACTTCAAACATCAAAGCATTATCTACACCACCACAGAGGAAGAGGGACCTAATCACAGGTGCATCTAACTGATAAGTTCCGTAAGGGTGAAACGCAGATTCGGGATTCTACTGCTAACCAGCATCAAACCAGTAATTTATAGTGGTTAACAAAACTGAAATATAATCAGAGGCTTACAGACTGTTGAAGAATCGGGCTTATAAATGCTGTCTGTTATTGGAGTAGTTCTAGAATAAATAATGTCCAGAAACTTCAAATGAAGTCGATCGAGAGGTGCTTTGGCAACTACTTCGCTACTACCAACGGGTGCCGCCAACAATTATACATCTCATCCAACAGCTGTACGACAATGCTGCATGCCAAGTAATCCACAACGGGAAACTTACGGAATCCTTCGAAGTGAAGACAGAAGTAAGACAAGGCTGGCTGCCTAATATCGCCAATGATTTTCCTGATTGCAGTAGATTGGATAATGCGACAAACAGCGGGCAATGAGGAAACAGGCATAAAACGGACTCACACAAAAACTTGCAGGATCTGGACTACGCCGATGATATATGTCTGATTTCCCACAAACTGGAAGATATGCAAGCGAAAAGCAACAAGTTAGCAGAAGAAGCATCAAAGATAGGACCTCAGGTGAACATAGAGAAAACGGAGGTGATGAAGATTCCTGGGCGACACCACCAACACCAACAACAACAGACAACAATCACCATAAATGGAAAGAACCTGAAAGAAACAACCTCTTTTACCTACCCACCTAGGAAGCATCGTTTCAACTTCAGGCGGAACTGACGAGGATATCAAATCAGCGAGGATCGGAAAAGCAAGACAAGCTTTCACTACTCTCAAGTCTGTGTGGAGGTCAACAGCACTCAGCAGCAAAAATAAGATCCGGATTTTCAACTCCAATGTGAAGTCAGTCAGTGCTACTATACGGATCAGAGACTTGCACTGCGCGTCATAAAGAGCACCTCAAACAAACTACAAACCTTCATTAACAGTTGTCTTCGCTCAATACTCAAGATCAGATGGCCGGCCAGAAAAGATCAGCAACAGAGATCTCTGGCAATGAGCGAACCAACCAGGAACCGATTGTGAAACAAATAGGCAGGAAGAATTGGAGATGGATTGGCCATACTCTAAGGAAGCCATCAGGTGACATCACTAGACAAGCCATCGCTCGAGTGGAACCCGAAAGGGAGTTGGTCGCCAGTGCAAGGGTGACTTGGAGGAGGTCATGTGAAGAGGAGATGAAAGCGTGTGGGCAGACTTGGAGTCAGGTGAAGACTCTAGCAGAGAACCGAACGCAATGGAGACGCACGGCCGAAGCCCTATGTTCCTCTAGGAATTAAAAGAAACTATAATAATTATAACACATCTACTTTCCATCATGGATTAATTTCATCACTGATTCAGACTTAGCTAACTAATGTTCTTAGGAGTGAGTTTGTAGGGATTGGATCTTTCTGAAGTCTGATCACAGATTGATATCAATTGTGAAAACCATGGAGTACTGGTCTCAATCCGTGATCAAACTTAAGACAAACGAAACCCCTACAAACTAAGTTGAAACAATAGATCTGATGCTTGCCACTGATTGTCTACAGGGCGAAGTTATCTGGAAGTGTAGCGGTAAGTCTTGACCAGTGGGGTCCAACCAAGTCAGGTGTCACGACAAATACTCGCTGTAGACATTAGCTAGTGGTTGCACTGAAGTCACGAACTGGTTCAAGTTGGAATTCATAGGTCAATGAATAGGATCCCAGTGGCTAAATAGTTTATAGGCTTGCTTTGTAACCAGATGGTCCTCGGTTCCAACCTCAGTGGGTGATCAAACTTGAAAAGTAAAATTATCAAGAGTTTCAGATTATCTGATGGTATATATACATATGTTCATATGGTACAATGTACTGCTCAAGACAGTGTTTAACTTTTCGAATTTAAAACATACTGTGGACTTTACTGATAGATTTCAGCAAACATTTAATATATGGATGTTTACAGGTTCTGAACGACTGATCTATTATCATACACACTTCAGTAAAATGGGAGGTCGATATGGAAATGAATGGCTAACTTCACTATTATCTAGTGTAAACGGAAATTTGAAACCCATCAATATTACAGATATTCAGAACTGATAACTCTTTATAGACTGGCAGTCTTAGTCGTGAAGTGTTCACCAAATATTCCTCAGAAAAACCATTTAACCACAATGCCATATAAATAGACATAATAATTTTACACACCTGAGTGATAGATTTTAATATGTTTTTTGATGTAATTGTATTCTCTCTGTCTCTGGGTAACATCTTCAGAGCATACTTCAATTTGAAGCAAGCTTTTATATTTCTCCAAGGCCTGACGCGCGATGTCACCCAGTGGACACTCGCTTAGGAGGCCGCTGGGTGACATCGCGCGTTAGGCCAACGCTCGAGTGGAACCCGAAAGGGAATCGGCGAGTGGGACGTCCGAGGGTGACATGGAGGAGATCGTGTGAAGAGGAGCTGAAACAGTATGGACTAACATGGATGCAGGTGAAAAGTACAGCAGAAGATAGAAACAAGTGGAGACGTGCAGTTGAAGCCCTATGTTCCACTAGGAACAATAATAATAATTTTATATTTGTCTACGAGTTTATTAGTCATCTCTCCTGGTGACCTTGAACAGGATTGGTTGTTTTTTGTGATTTTTCACACCCTCTAGGCTACTATAATATGTGTTTCGCAATAAATAAGCATATTTGTGTATTTATTTTTTCACATAAGCTTTAGTGTAGCGCATTTGTATTGAAGTTGTTAATTCAGTCCTTGTTTCAATCTTTTAAACATAAGAGGTTTTGGTTATTGTTATATCAGGAAATGGTTACTTTAGACCTATTTACACATGACTTGTCATATCATAAGTTTGGACAACTGGTGTAAGTACTAATTTTGATAAGATTTCTTTGAAAGGTGTTGTTTGATATTTACTTATATATTCCATCTTGTTTTAATTATAACTATTTCACACTCACTCCACATTGAGGCAAACTCTAAAGATATTCTTTTGAAGGATAATGAATGCTTCTCAGTGAGACTGTCCAGCTCAATCACAGCAGAAGCATCCATTTAAGCTATGTATCTTCATTTTTTCAGAGATTTCACAAATAATGGTTATAGTTTTCCTAATAACACTATATGACAAGATGATTGACACTTAGGGCAGATGTATTGACTCTAAGTCTTTTCCCAGGCTTTGATAATCTGCATTAACTCTAATCAGAATATCACTACCTCTCTCCTATACCTTCGTTATAATAAAGCTTCATTATATGTGGTGATGAGTGCATTTTTGTGCAGGGTTCTACGCTGACAATTTAGTCAACCAATTAGCTTTTTTATACTTCACAGACCAACATCTTGAAATTTACCAGAGTAAGATTTAGGTAAAATATTAGGAATAATTTTGATGAAAGTATCGGCAAGATACGAGACAGCGATATTTATCTTACAAGCCGGATGCTCTGTAGAATCAGCTCTAACTTATAGAGATGTGGATGACTAACTTTCAGTCTGTTATAAGGGAGTGTTACTGTTATAACTGGTTGTTGTTAAACGTGACTGCAGTACGCCTTCAGACACGACACTATAGCCACCCAATAACTCGGAAATATTCCCAACACTGTTGTATACACAGAGGTCAGATTTGAATGTGAAGTCAACAACAAACTTATTCAAGTGTTGGTTTGTAGGGATTTGGTTGGTTACAGGATTTTCATCATGAGCTGACATTCGTTAGAGAACCATTGGAAAACCTGGGAGTACTGGACAGCGGTTTCGTCCTAGTTTGGGACTCT